TGGACTTACTTTTTCGTTGGTAAGTACACCTGCTCCTAGAAGAACGTCAATGGGTCAATGGGTCGACCTTCGGCACTCGAAGATAGGATACATGGCTAGCAGCAGCTGATGCTTGAAGCAAGTCAGTGACCTGCACATTTTTTTCCTTATCATCATTGTCACGTTTTCACTGGCAAATTTTCGCAAAACAAAAATTGTCACTTTTACACTTTCCAAATTCACTGCCACTTTTCATTTTACAAATCCACTGTCACACTGCACTATGCAATTAAAAATTTGATTACACGTTTTTATTTTAATTATTAGTTCCGATCAGTATACCGTTCGCGGAACAATTCCATTGCCGCTCTCGGATTATAATTCACTTACGCGTAAATAACGAACATATTAAAATATTTCGTGTTCGTTAGGACATGCAACGTTCTGTTTAGTGACGCAAGGCAAAACCAAATGACCGCTCGCACGCAGATTTTCTCCCAGAAAATCTTTCCCCACTCGGGAACAAGTTCGTTAGAGAAAATGTGTTTGTATTTTTCAACTAAACCCGACTTCCATGTCCTCGTCATCCTTAGAAATTCTCCACGTATAACAGACTCGAAACGATGACAAAATACAGCATCCAGATATGCACTTACCAGATGCGAACGACTGAATTTGCTTTTTGTCATACACATTCTGCTGGACGCATGCTGACCGAGTCCATGGCATAAAATAGTAAAAAGGAATGCTCTGATTCTCTTCGAATACTGTTAAAAAAACGTTGACGGCAAGAAACACTGTCTTCCAAAAATTCACAGCAGAAAATGATTACCTTCTACGTTTCCTATAACTACTGCCGAACGTGATGCTCACTCCCGAGTCGTATTCGCATAATGATTAATGCAACTTTTTCCATTCCAAAAAAATTCATAACTCAATTGCAATGGAAGTTATAAATACTATTACAGTCGTATTCGACGACTGATTGAAATGTGCCACGGTTATTGTGAAATTAAGGTATTCGTAAGTTACGACCCATTGGTATGCATCACATCAGGCAGCACGAAACGTTGAAGGAAATGTTTTGCAGCGCTGAATTTGTAAGAAGCAGTGTTTATTGTCGCCAACGTCTTTTTAAGAGTAATCAAAGAGAGTCAGATTTTTTTCTTTTTACAATTGGCAAGGTCTCGAACAGCGCGCGCCCCGCAGGATGTGTACGACAATACGCAAATTCAGTCGTTCGCATCTGGTAAGTGCATATCTGGATGCTGTCTCTTGTCATCGGTTCGAGTGTGCTGGACGTAGGGAACTTCTAAGGATGACAAGGAAATGAAGG